TCTGTACACGGGCCTCTCACTGCTGTGGCCTCTCCTGTCTCAGAGCACAGGCTCCAGACGCGCAGGCCCAGCGGCCGTGGCTCGCGGGCCCAGCCACTCCACAGCACGTGGGATCCTCCCGGACCGGGGCACGAACCCGTGTCCCCCCCATCAGCAGGCGGACTCTCAACCACTGTGCCACCAGGGAAGCCCTGCCCTATATTTTTATATGGGTATAATCATAACTTTGTAACTGTTCTTTTATTTTCACTATTATAGACACTGCAGTGAAGCTCTTATTTCATAAATTTTGGTCCATATTTTATTTACCTGTACTAAAATTCTAAGTGTATAATTTATTAGATTGAAGAGTATTCAGTTTTTAAATTGAAAAATAGAAACCCATACTTATTTTAATTATCATACCATAGTACTTATAGAAAGCTTCCCGGTCCAGCATTAACTTGTAGAAGTTCAGAGTTTATTCATCTAGATTTTTTTCTTTGATTCTTCAAAGTCAGCTTGTTTTTAGCCTAATGTAGATTTTCATTCCTGCTATTCACCAAATATTTCTAGCGTATGGCCATATGACTAGTTTCTGGCCAGTGAGTTGTGAGTGAAAGTGACTTCTGGTTTCGAGGATTTAGTTGTTAATGTGAGACTCTTTAGAACCCTCTTTTCCCTCAAGCATGGTAACATTTTTACTATTCAGATGGTGATTGCTATATCAGTCTTGGTTCCTGAGGGACTATGAAAAGAGCCTTCCTGTTTATTTAGATACACATATAGCATGAAGGAGAAATAGCATTTTTATTTTAAGCTACTGCAGTTAGAGAATTTTTGTTCTACAGCATAACTAAGTCTCTCCCTACTGATGTAGGAATTAATCCTGAAAGTGGATTGCTGCCATTAGAAGAAACACAGCTGAGCTACATTACACCAGTGTATTGCATTGGCTTAGGTGGCAGATGGCAAGGCTACATGAGGTGATCCACATTCTGCTATGGTGAGAGATTTGGTAAACTTGACT